ACTGAATGGATCCGCTCAAGGTTTGGTATATTGGACTCTTATGCTGGTAGCATGCGCTTTGCAAAATTTGGGCTCAAGATGTTGGCTGGCAACCAATCCACGCATTTCGTGAAAGACAGACAGACTTACACGCACACATCTACACAAAAACAAGCAAACATCCTTAGCCCTTATTATAAGCAGTAGCTCTCTCTCCCCGGTCTCGCAAATAATTATGCATTATTTTTGCGGGCTGTTCATCAAAATTGCGGATAGTCCATCAAAATGCAAAAAAAGCTGGTTAGTGACAGCCCTATACACTTATAATTAGCAGCAAACTAGTTTCAAAAATTCGGGAAAAGTAAATAGTAAATATGTAACTCATACAAAAAACCTTCATATATTCTGTATATTCAGTATGCTATTTTATTTATTTTTATTTAATCCATACGCCCTTGGCGTTCCATACAATAGAATAGAAAGCAGTCATTTATACTCTAACCGCAACGATACTGCATCATTAGTTTAGGTCTAATCTTGATAAAAATGTGATGAAAGCTTGTATTTGGCTGCTCTATGATTATAATTATCGGAATTAAATGATGTGATTCATGGAGACGTATCCCCCCCCCCTTTGCCAGCAAAATATTTTGATTTTAAAAAGCAAACAAGGTTTGATAGTGGGTATATTATCTGATCTCACCAAACCAGTAAACCAGTGTGAGCTAGTGACTCCAAGTGAACTTCAACAAGGGTTGTAATGATGGATAACTCATACGTGAGCGTGATCAAGTTAGGTTATTGTAATCTATGGCGATGGCAATCATGCCAACTCATTTGCCAGCAGAAGATGCTCTTGCAATAATGAAGCAAAGCGAGGCTCGGTTGGTGCAGTAATACCAGTCAACCTTGCCCAAATGATTCCGGGGAGAGTCCAATGACTCCAAAAGAATATCAAATAGTTTCACTTTTTGTAATTCATTTAAGAGCAAGTCAACAAACTGTAATGATTGGAAAGAGAAGTAAATTGATTAGACCTGAACTAATGTAATAGCAAGATATGGGTTAGTAAGACATTTGAAAGAAAATAACATCAAAAAAAACACAAATTGATGGTTGCATTAGGTTGTGACAGAATTGATGCAGGTTTTGAATTCCAACCGCAAAAAGTCATACACTTCTCATTAAGTAGGTTGCAAAATACCATTCGATAGAGCAAAGCAATCCTTACAAGATGGCAAACTTGCTTTAGCAACAACTCTGATCCACTACGAGTTTCGAGCCAAAAACTAAAAAGATTCAACTGTCCGAAAAATTGAGAAAAATCGTAACTCAGTTCATAAAAAACCTACAAAAATTGTAACTTGGTCACGTAAACACTATTCACATGGGACATCTATAAACGCCTTTGCCGTATTTTTTTTCTGTTAGAAATCAAGAAAACGGAAATTTTTGTGCGTTTGCCAAACTGATGCTGTGCCGCTCCCACATAAGTAGTTGTAAACTACAAACCTGTAGAAGTATAAACGTGGATTTCCAGCTCTTTACAGCTTTAGTTCCCGAAAAATATCGAATACAGTTTTCGCTAGTCATGTGGTCCAAGCTAAAATTCAAATTTCTGGAGAACTAAAGCTTGTAGAGAGCTGAAAATTTACGTTTGCACTTCTACAAATTTGTAGTACACAACTACGTATGTGGGAACGGCACAGCAACACTTTGGCAAATGCACGAAAATTTCCCTTTGCTTATTTTCTAACAGAGAGAGAAATACGGCAACGGCGTATATAGATGTCCTATGTGAATATTATTTACGTGAGCAAGCTAAAATTTTTCTAGGTTTTTTATGAACTGAGCTACAATTATTCTCAATTTTTCGGACTTGAATCTTTTTAGTTTTTGGCTCGAAATTCGTGGTGGATCAGAGCTGTTGCCAAATCAAGATTGCCGCCTTGTAGAGCTTGCCTTGCTCTATCGATTGGTGTTTTGTAACCTATTTAGAAATGAGAAGTGTATGACTTATTGCGGTTGGAATTCAAAACCTGCATTAATTTTGCTACGACCTAATATTTGGTATGCATTTTGTGATCGGATAATGTAATCGCACATGGCCAGCTTTAGCAATACAGATGACGAATTGGTGCTATTCATTACTCATTCTTAATGCCTCAAACGAAAGAGATCAAGTGTGTTGATTCTGCGTTCAAAAACATTCGTGCTCTGAGATTGTAATGCAGTATCTGGTAACAGCCTAAGCCATCTGGAGGTTCTGTAGAATAAACTGTTGAATCCAACGAATAATAACTATAAATCCAACTAACGAATCCTAATCCAACGAAAACGTTTCTTATGAATATCTAAGTAATGAATATTAAACCCACCGTTTCTATATGTTGGTCTGAAAATCCAATACTTAGCCTTAATTCTTTTTACAGTAGACGGAATGAGAAGACAAGATCAAGATATACGCGTCTGTACTCTAAACTTTTCATTGCTAAAGACTTAAGGCGATTTTCATAGCTAGGCATATCGGTGAAATCAAAGCTTAAAGAAGATTAATCAATCAGGACACTTAAGTCTTTGACTGTAGAGCAATTTCTCAATTTAACTCCATTAATTTCATAATTGGGGATTTCTGAGCTACCAAAATGCATGACATAACTTTTTTCTAAGTTGATAAGGATATTTAAAAAGGCACACCAGTGAATCATTTTCTTCAAAGCTAAATTTGTTGCAGAACGGATCGCTTCTTGGGCGTCTTTATTATAACAGCCGTAGATTTTTATGTGCGTACATTTGCACTGCTAGATTTTCGGATGTTTCCAAAATGTTGGGAAGATCAGCAGTATACACCAGGAAAAGCAATGGAGAAGGAACTGCACCTTGAGGGAACCCACTTGTGCAGGTATATCGATCAGAGAAATGGTCTTCCACTTGAACGGCTCTATTGTGTAGATATGATCTTAGCCATTTCAAAATAATTTCCTTCACACCAAATTGCTCGAGTTTAAGCAAAAGCAATCGATGATTTACTTTGTCAAATGCTTTAGATAAATCTATGTAAATGAATCGACAAATTTCCCCTTATTTAGGGCGAAATTTCAGTCAAAAATAGAATCAGCAAGGTTGGTGGTAGTTGATGGTCCGGTCATAAACACGTGCTGATTAGGGGGTATCATATTGAATTTCTCGAACCATGCAAGCATTTTGTCACGTAAAACTTTCTTTATTACCTTTACCGGTGTAGGTGTCAGACTAATAGGCCGAAATTCTGAGAGAAGGTGGGCATTGGAAACCTTAGGTATAGTTGTTATCAACGCCTCTTTCCAGACTTGCGGCAGTTCTCCCAACATCATTTATATATTAAAAATATGTGCAAGGGGTTTACAGAGTGTTGAAGCTTATTTTTTAAAACGATTTGTGGGATGCCGTCATACGTTTCAGTAAAAGAAGTTTTTAGTTCAATCGGAATCTTCCGAATTTCAAAGATACTGAAATAGACGGTCGATAGGCAGTGACGATAAGAAGGAGAGGAAGATAAAGAGAAGCCCGGTTTCGTATCGTCGAAGGAAAAAACACCAGCAAAATATCGTTCTAACACTTGTGCTTTTTCGCTGTCAGTAACATAAGTATTTCCTGCTTGATCAGATATGCAAGACAGATGACGGCTTACTTTGAGTTTCTGATTTATATACTGGAAAAAGGATCTCGATGAGCTTCTTTTTGCCAATCTATGTTCATGATTTGCTATAAATCTTTTTAAATGGTAGCCAATATCTTCACATACTTCTTTGTGCATCAAGTTTGACAAGGGGTCTATTAGAGAATAGAATAGGCGTTTTTTCTGTGCAAGAAGTTTTCTTGTATGAGGTGGATAGCCACGATACGGTTGATCTATGTATCTGAACGGCACACATTTAGAAAATGCATTGTAGATAGTTACACAAAATCTGTGATACACGTCCTTAATCGATCCGTACTGATCAAACAGACCCATTCAGTCAATATTTTCGAAGTACTTATTAGGAGAAATGAAGTCGACCTTTCAAAAATCGGGTCTTAATATAGCGTTACGAGAGAATGATGCGAAATGAACAAAAAATTGAGTTACCCTAATTTCCAGAATATAAGGCGCATTTTCGTGCACCGCGCGCGGGCTCATTTGCGACGTCGCGAAGGCCGCCAAGTTTTGACGTTTCACAACTTTTCTGCAGTTGAATTTCTTGTAATCATGAGTTGTTTTAAAACAAATTATTTTATTACATTCAGCACAACAGAAAACAAAGACTCAAACATCCGTACTGTTACTACCTTCGAAATTCATTAAGTTAAAGCTATCATTGAGATCGTTTAAGTCTATCTATATCTGTTGTCAAGGCTTCATTGAATCCTTTAAAATAAAATCGACACTGACTTCTTGGAAACTTTGGAGTACCCATTCAGCAATAAGTTCAAGCCGCGGACCCTCTCTTCTTCCTCTCCTGGTGGTTTCTACGTGAGTATTGCCGGCTATACAGGCATCCCAATGCTTCCTCAGATTATCCTTGAAAGGCTTATTGACAGATACATCAAGAGGTTGAAGATAATTCGTTAATACTTTCTGCTCAGACACTCGCTCTTGACTCGCGCCGGAGATCCGCCCCCTTTTGAGGGATTCGCGGGAAAGGGCGTAGACATTCGCGAGACAATATTTTGACAGTTTTTGCGGATGGTCGCGAAAGGAAATCGGGAGATGATGAGTGACTCAGCGAGCAGTTTCGCAATATCGACTCGCATTTCAAATCTCATCTCATATTGCATCATTCCAGGTTTTTTTCTACCTATTCTCAAGTTCGTACATTCCATCCATCCCACACCACGTTTTAGACTACATCGAATGCTGCTGCTCGAATTCAAAAGATCGAACATTACAAAGACGTGGAAGCTTGATGCGAATCCACCCTTCAAGGTTACTCAATCTATGTCAATCGACTGGCAGCTTCGATTGTTTTTTAGGAAGTGAATATGATTGAAATTTTGGAAAGATGGAGTCCCCCTGCGCGCTCCAGTCGCGGAAACCATTTTTTGACGATGGTGGAGTTTCTGAGATTTTATCTTCGCCGTGTAAGTCGCGCTGTTTGTTTAGTCCATTCTTCTAACAAAATGAATCACAGGCTTGCGAGCCACCTCATGAAATACAACATTTCGCTTGCCGCCAGTCTGGAAGGAAAGGTCGAAATCCTCATCTGCTTGACTTCCCAAAACCCATGATAGTTTTCCTGACCAATGGGTAATCACTTCTCACCCTGGTAGAGTGTACTAAAACTGGTTTTTTAGACTTCGTATTAGACGCTTTTGGCTTGTTCGCAGATGAACTTCTTCTAAGTGCCTATGAATGCGCAACATATGCTAACAGGTATAGCAAAACATTCTTTTAGAGCTCCCTGATTGTTGTCCTTTCAGTTACTGGCGTACCCTAGGAGAGAATGATGATGAACGCGCGAAGAGGTTTGATAGCATGGTGAAAGCCAAAATCACCTGGAAAGAAATTGTTCGCACAGCGATTGGAAGAGCATTGTAGGCTTTCATGTACCCTTCCCCTTACCCTTACCCGTATAATATATACATATATATATGTATATATATATATCTTCAATTTAGGGGAAACCTGCGCGCTTATTCGTTCAATCCCGAAAAGAACGAACTCGTCCCCCCGGCGATAATATATATTAGGTTGTCCCGAAAGTTTTGTCGGTTTTTTTCATCGCTCACTAAAACTCACAGAACATCAGTCCATAAACGCTCTAGGTACCATTTGATTTAAATTTTCATCCTCTTTCTTACAGCTTTATTTGCTCTCTGGCTTACCCTGTCTTTGCAATGTTATCACGATGGCTTTTTGAGCAGCTCAACAGAAACGCCAAACTTTTCCTGAATTTAAAAAATTTCTATCCTGATATTTCTAAGGAGCGCTGGTAACTGTTATTTAGAGCAAAGCTTTGGCTACATTGAACCCATTTTTTAGATTACGTGGGTAACGTTCATCAAGTCCGTTATAATTATTTATTTAATAAAAACCGCGGCTTTTTGAATACGTTTGCCACGTAAAAGTACCGAAAATTCCAAAAAACTGCTTTTTTAAAGCAAGTCAAGCTGGTTAATGTTGCATAAATAGTGTTCAATAAGTATCATGTTGCAATTTGCAGAAACTTTAGAAGTTTTCATGTTTTTGCTGCAGTTGCGTGTTTCATGACTTTGCCAAAAATCGAGACCTTCGAAGAAATAATTTTTCGAAGCAAAAATCAGCAGATTGATGGAATCTAAAAATATCATCTTGTAGTCCGGGAGTTGCTCTATTTAACACTTACTTAACCCTTTCCGAAACTTTGAAATGAATTTTTTAAAAATCAGCCGAATTTTGAGCAGATAAAAATGACGGGTGAAGAATTTCAGCAATTTTTAAAGAAAGCATACAGGATTGTGGTTCGAAAATGTAACCACAAGAAAGAGAAGGAAAAGCTGCATCGAACACATGCTAAAGCTCATTCGGATCTTCATTGTGCGTGGTCTTATAGTGGTCTGAAAAAAACCGACAAAACTTTCGGGACGACCTAATACATCCTTTCTATGCACATCAGCCTCAAAATGGCATCCTTATTTCAGAAAAAAACGAACTCGAGACGCAGAAAATGAACTCGAATCACTTTGAAGCAATTTTGTCGCCCATCACCATAACCTCATTACCCTTTTTTTGGCCGAACACGTTCTCATTATCACCGCACTGATTAGAAGAATCTGCATTTTTTATTCCCTTTTCATTTAATTTGGTGGTCTTGCTTATATTCGATTGCACTTCTCTAACTTGAAAATCTGATTCCACTTGATTTTTGCCAGCCACCATAACCTCATTATCCTTTTTTGGTCGAACACGCTCTCATTATCATCGCACTGATTAGAAGAATCTCCATTTTTGTATTCCCATTCCATTTATTTTGGTGCCCTTGCTTCAGTTTGCTTGCACTTCTCTAACTTGAAAATCTAATTCCACTTGATTTTTTTTGTGCAAATGTTGTAATAAATGTGAAGTTATGTTTAATGTAATGTATATGTTATGTAAAGCAAGTAGAGATCGCATCGTTCCCTTCTTCTTGACTACATCAAGCCGAGCGACATGCTCGAGTTTTTCCGTTGTATATTCTTTTGCCCAATGCGGAAACCCATCGTGAGTTAGTTTCAGTCTTCCTGTACTTGTAGAAGCAACTGCACACTGTATTTCAGTTTCTAATATATCTCCTGTGTTTCGGGTGGCGTCACGTTTCGAAATGAAGCTCGTTGTTGCCAGGTGTGAGCAGTTTTTGGCTCGGACGGTGAGCACTTTAGATCGTGAGCGACCTTTTCAGGCGAGATTAGTGGATTTTGTTTCTCACAAGGTGAATGATACTTGGTGGAATTGGCGTTTCCATGCAAGCAGTGGTATCAACGCAGAGTACTGGAACGCTATTTCAAATCTGCTTTTGGTATCTGAGCACTTCTAGAAAGGTGTTATGGAAGTCTTTTGATGTAAAAATTAGAAAGACCTGCTATAGTGGAATCAAAACTTCAGTGAACTGAATCGGGCCACGATTCCTACCAGGACGTATTATGCAATTAATACCTTCAGTGTAATGAACTCATGTCAGTCATTACTCCTTTCAAGCGCCAGGAAGACCTCAAGACCTGTTTTAATCTTGAAATCATCAATTTTCTACCTTAAAAAATTCCCAGAACCCCCCCCCCCCTCCCAGGAGTGCTTTGCAGATAAATAAAGCAGATAGGATTCAGCGTTCCATGCTCTATAATAATATACGTGTCATATTGAAGCCACTTCGGCCAAGTATCCTTCCCTCGTCAGCACCATTTTGGACGTATGAGGATTCCTGATCCATTGGAATGGCTAATTCAAAATTGTCATGACGCGTAAGCAGAATTCTCAGTGCATCTCTCGTTTGAAAACCATATATCGCTTTTTGACCTTATCAGTTCTGCTTCCAAGCGCAGTTGTGTACTCTAAGGCCAGAGTTGGCGGTGGGCACGGCTGTGCCAGCGTCGTGCCAGCTAGGTGCGGGACCCTAGGTGGACGCACTACTTATTGGTCGGTCGTCCTCAGCAAAGAGTCCTCAGTCGTACAAAGATAATGATTCCTTATCGAGTTCCTCGTTAACCTTTTGTTCATCCAAATTTTCGTTTCTTTTTTTCGTTTTTAGTGTTGTTGTCATTTCAGTATGGTATATCTTTACAGGGTAAGGAAGTGTTGGTTGAAGCGATTGACGGGGCAAAGTATTCGGGAATATTCTGTGCATGTTTCCCAGAGGTAAGCGGTTGAATTCTGCCAATATCGATGTATTAAGAACCGCAGACGGTCTCCTGACAAACTTCGTTCATATGTGTTCAGTGTAATGTTTCTTGAGATTGCTCTGGATGTTTACTCTTCTACAATTAATTGGTATTTTCAACATCTCGTCTTTGATGCTTATCTTTGATATATGCTCTGGCAAATTTCGTATCCACTTTCTGCAATTCATCATTTCTATTTATACTCTGATCAGGGTTTCCATGCCATTTTTGGACTTTCTTGACTCTTATGAAACTGTTTTACTTTTGAAGGACCAGACGCGCAAAAGCCTTTATAACAATTTGGAGTCACCTTGAGTGCGTGTATACCCTTTTCCATGCTAATTAATGAGATTTTGTTTCGTACTTGCTTACGAGATTCACTTTGAAGTAGGTCTATTCATAGTTCTGTCCGAAAGAATGGTTATGTTGATGCTAAATCTGTCTTCGACACAGAATTCGCTATTTTGGGTACTTTGAAAATGCGAAAGATAATCCTCTTGATGTTAGGTTTCCTTGCCATTTCTATATCCTTACGCTCTCTCGGCTATCCTTATTGACCCTATTTTGGCTCTCTCAATCCATCTGCGAATGCTTCGTGTGCCGAAGCATGTCTATGAACTCTCAACCATATATTTTTAGTTCGACATTGGACTGCGGCATACATATAAAATTACCACGGGTAACAGTGAGAATCTGCTGCCAAAATGGAATATGACTGCAAAAATGTTATTCAAGTTCAGTGATATTGTAGCCATGTCCGCACTTATGAATGAGGAGGTCGTTAGAGGTATGTTGGATTTTAATGTCAGACAAGTTATGCCTTGATCTTGTTAATCAACAGTCGTTGATTTGTTGAACTTGTGTTCTGAGGTGGGAGTTCGTGAACCTGAATGTTTGCATTTGTTTGTTCTTTGTTCACAGGAAATCGCAGAGCTGAGTCTTGCTAGTATTCGAAAGTCCGTTACCATGTGTATCGGCTTCCCTTGACGATTTCATGTTTGACCCGAAAGTTGTTGGCAGCAGTGTGTATGGAATAGAAAAGGCTTAGCCTCATATGCATAGTCGGTGTTTTATAGGGTGCAGATTGGAGATTTCGACCTGACAAACGCTAACCTGTCTGCAGGGCTTGCTAAACTGCGGACAGAAGGAAATATCATGCGTTTTCTAGCCGCGGCACCGCGGTTCGCAGTTTAGTGTGCAGAGATGCATGCAGTTTAGCCTGTGAAACCGAGGATTGCAGTCTAAGAATAGATCCATTTTCATGTCCTTATTGAAGAATACTCATTTGCCGATCCATTCTCAGATCTAGAAATTGCTGTTCACAATGTAGAACACGATGCAAGAATGGCCGCAATTGATGCTCCTGACTTGATACAGTTGTTCAACAAGTATTTTCTTCTTTCCAATCCAAAAAAAATTTGCTTTGCGAGAAGCTTTTCTTATAAAATGGTCAGTTACTTACATAGATTTTGGAACAAAGCGGTATTTTTCTCATCTTTGATGCGCCGAATGTTCAGCTACCACTGAGTTTCGTACTTTATTGCATGTATTTTTTGGTGCTTCCATTGCCTTATGCTTCATGTATGGAAGTAAATGTTGCGACAGCCCCTCCTAGTACTTTCAACTTCTGTCTACACTTCTTAGAATATCTTCTTCCGATAATTTTCATATCACTATGCCAAGATCGTTCAGAACCAGTTATGTATGACGATGAATATGTTCCTCAATACCTCACTCTCGGAGCATCCAGTTCTGGTGAGATCGCTGTTGTCGGTTACTTCCACATGCATTGAGTCAAGTCATCTTCATTGCAGGAGATGACTTGAGTTTGACAGGGAACGAGAAGAGGCTCGGCACTAGTCGCATTGCCACACACGCGAAGTCACACTTCACGGCAACTTCGTCGCAAACTGGTCAGTGTCTCGGTGCCTGCATTCGTAACTACGGTTACTCTTTAGATGAAGACGAACCCGGACCCAGCAACGTGGAGGCGTAGCAACGCCGTAAAACACGCCAGCTCCCACCTACATCAGAGCATCTTCTTGCTTCGAATTCTTTTGCTGGTATTACTTGTTCGCTTTTTTGCAAGCTTTCAAAGGCTCCTCTTCAGATGTCGTCGCAAATGCTATGCAAGAAATTGCAATCAGCCTCCCTAAATTGGGAAAAATTCTTCGCCAGTTTTATCTTGACGTCGCCAACAAGGTATCGGCCCACAAATTGCATCATGTGACCAATGCTTTTCAAAGGAAACTCTATACGCTAAATTGGAGAATACATTTGTGAACATGGACCATGTAAAGAAAATGCTGGACAACGTTGAAACTATTCGGAGTTCCTCCGATTCCGTTGTCAGAGCACTGACGGTTGTCGTACGAGAGCAGAATCAATTCATCGCCGGGATGGCCACAGTCGTAAGTCGATCAGGGACCTTAGGCAGAAGTAGGCGACCGCTTTTTTTTAGATGGATTACATGCTCACTAAACAACGAGAGCAAGTGCGCCAATTGCAAAAGACGAACTACCGTGTATCCAAAACCTCCGAGAAGTGGCTGCCTGAAGGCTACGTGTTCCAACGGAAAAATATTACCCGAACTTGGATTTGGCGAGAAGAAATGCTCTTTAAGGTTTGGGACCCGTCGCACGTGTAAACACTAAGTTAGTTTTTGTAGGAAGTCAATTTGCTCGAGCTTCTTGAAAGCTGGAAGCCTCCTACTAGAACTAACAAACATGACCAGTTTTTGAAAATAGTCGACTTCTATCGCCACTACCTTGTCAACGTGAGTTAAGCAGTCAACCAGAATCACACCCAATGACGGCGTTATAGGCTTGTAATCCCATTACCGAAATCCAAAACTATGCCTGCCGCCAGACCGGAAAAAAGGGGAAGTACGACCACCTGATGGATTTACCCGAGTCGCTTGTCACATTTCTAATAAATAGGCTCCACTGTTTCTTCATTTCGCACCTTCATATCATTTTTAAGGTTTCGCTTTGGATGCTCTTGGCCTATACGTTGATGATTTGCTGTTACCAGCTTCAGAATTGATGAGGAACCCGACGATGTATGTTTTAGAGGATCCTAAGTTTGCATTATTATTTTTTATTGATTTAGATGGTGGACAAATCTTGGCAAGGACGACAAGGAGCGAACAAAAATCTTCGACATGCTCTCACAGGCCAGGATGTATTGAGCGGTCTTCGCTCGCATAGCCCTCGGAAGAGCCTTGTAAGCTGTTCGAGTATTGATAAGACAGATGGACATTCCATGTTGCGTTTTGCAGGGGAGATGTACGGGCTTATGTAATAAATCCGGAAAGAGCTAACTCCTTCCTCCAAAGGTAAGATGCCAGTGCACTTATTCCAGTCTTCTTCGACATGGTTTTTTCTTTTCAGAAGAAGCGTGTGATCGAGACTACGGCAAGCAGCTCTTCTGCTGTCAAGGAAATAGAAAAGACCAGCCCCGACGACATTTAGCCCATCTTCTACTGCTTTTTTCTAATTTGCTGCCCTTACATATCACTATCATTACCACATCATTTGCCTTAACTGTACTCTCGCTTTTGCGTGTCACTTATTTGCATTCTGAGATTCTCATTGTTTAAAACGGTTACCATGTACACTTCTATCTCATCATATCTCCATATCGTGAAGCTTTAAGATAGTGAACATAGTAGTTTGACTCCTCAGTTCTTATTTGATTTTCTTGCGTACCTACATTGAACATAACTCTGACATTGAAATGTTCCTAAGACTGAAGTAAATTCACTATGTGCTAATGAAGTTTCCAATCAATCCTTCCCATCTCTCTTCATTACTGTAGGGTTACGGTAGAAACTTCAAAGAGGGTTTTGAACCATGGAAGGCCATATTTTGCCTCAGAAAGGAAACAAAACAGCCTAACTTTTACACTAGGCCAATTAGAGTTGCTGATTCTAACTGTAAAGTTCCAACTTATTATGATGATCCATTGAAGAGTTATGCCGGGTAAGAGGTAGAGGCCATTTTTTCAATGTGCCTAAAAAATGCGGTTACACCGTTTAGAAAGCTTCGTAATTTTGTGAATAGTTGAGTATTGGACTCAGCGTCCATAAAAACCCTATTACAAAAGTTTCCACATTTTTTTGAAAAATTTTGAAATGGCAGCTTTTTCCACATTGACACCACATGTTTCAAGTTTCTACCGTAATCCTACAGTAATGAAGAGAGACGGATGATTCGTTTTATAATGGAAATCTAAGTTGAAGCCAGCTCTACAGATTGGTACCTGAAGCAAGGGAAAAGACTTCTTGGGAAGAGAGATATTAATGATCAAACGTTCGATACATTTTTTTGGGACACCCTGTATATATATATATATGTACAGCAAGTAGGGATATAGCGAAATTACTACTGCGGGATAACGCGCTCCAGTTGCGTCCGAACATCAGGATGTGTCGCGCTCGAGCTGCCGCGTATTTCCTGCAAGATGCGGGTCGCGTCAAAGCGTTGTCTCGGGCAGCAATGTTCCGACACATAATGCTGTCTAGGGATTTCGTCACGAGGCCGATTACTTGTGTCGCGCCTTCATTCAGCGCTTACACAAAACTTTGGGCTGCGCGAGTCAACAGCTAGTGTCTGAGTGTTAATACTCATCCCCTAGTGGGGAACGGCCGAACCTTGGGTGCAACTCTTAAGCGCATTTGTCGCGCTTTCGCGCGCGGCAGGTGCGCATTATACATAGGTGAGCCTTATACTCCGGAAATTAGGGTATACGATGTTCGTAATTTGCAAGAGGAGGCATAGTGTGCTTGCCGGAAATCGTAGGAGAGGTCGAAAGTACGAGGTCAAGAACATGAGAGCTATGTGTTGCTTCTGTTACATATTGTTTCAAACCAGAACCATGGAAGAAGTTAAGAAATATTGCAGAATTTCTGTTCAGAGTAGCATTTCAGACCAGTTTATCTGTAAGTTGAAGTCCTCCAAAACTATTGTATTTTCTTTTTCGCCCACAAAATTGCTCATAAGTTCAATAAGATTTTCATCACTTTCATAGGTGCTATTTGGAGGTCGGTAGATTGCAAGAAAGCGTAACCAAATAGGTTCATGAGAAGAAGATATGTCAACACAGAGAACATTTGACATAGTGCTGTTATCCGAAATCCATGATTTTACTAAAAGAGTGCTTTTTGATAAACAGCAAATACCTCCACCTCTGCGATTATCGTCGAGTCATTCCCAACTTAATATGCCTAGTACACACTAAACACGCTAACTGACGAACAGCAAAATTATAACCTGCTCATTTTCAGTGATTTCTGCTTGTTTCCCTGTCTCTTTTGTTTTTGTTGATTACATGTTAATCAACAGAACACATTTCTATACTTTGTTAGACTAGAAAATGTTTTACTGAAAAATTGCCAGTAAGGGTGCCGTCGCTAATAGGGCTTAGTGTGCAGTCTCACATCTTAAGTTACAAATGACTCGAGGTTATGTCTATCTACATGTGAGATCAAATAAGGCAGCTTTCCTACAATTTCACTGTCAAGAACTTTGACAGTTAGCCATGTCTCAGTGATGAAAAGAATATCTGGTTTATATTCAACTAAAAAGGATTGCAGATGATGCAATTTTTTTGACAAGACTGCTTGCGTTTAGTAAAATGACTCTAATCTTTTCTTGCTCACCATGCAATTTTACACGTTTTCCGACCTCATTTTGGGCAATTCCGACACGCGCACGAGCTGACTCTTGTAAACTACCCATTCTTTGTTTGGCTTCCCTTTATTCCTCTCAAGTGCAATCTGGCGTAGCTCGAATTAGCGTCTTCGCTCATCCTCCGTCATGCTCCTGCATAGGAATATTTAGGGTATCCAGCATGACGGAGGCGATGAGCATGAGTCAGTGCCCTACGCCAATAAAAAGTAGAGGGCATGACTACTTTTATAAGGCGCACATTATTTATTCGGTTTTCCTACCCACCTCTGAAGGTGTGCAATCTACATCAACAGCGTCGAAAATATCCTCCACCTTATTTTGGAGGTATTTCTGAGGCTCTGATGGACGCATGTCCTCCGAGGATTGCTGGACACCACTAATCCCTAGACTACGCGTCCGTTTTTCAGCCTCAAGAACCTCTGAGAATCCGAAAGATATTTTTTCAGCAAGTGCGGCAAGCATTTTATGGATGGTCGGGTCCTTATTCAATTCCCAGATAGATGTGATCAGTTTCTTAGTTGACATTGAGCTAAATTCGTTTCCTCGCTCGGCTGTTCTACTACTTTCCCCTTTTTGCGAAGTCTGGGTCGTGACTTGTTGCTCTTGACCCTTGTTAACACGTGAACGTGCCATGACTTATTTTAACTTGTCAAAACAGATTGCAATAGAACGAAAACGGAGAGAAAAGTAGATGGAATGAATGAAAAGAGGCCGGTAGAGGAAAAACAAAACTCAACCAACCACAGCGATCACAGAAGGGACCAGACTCAATCCAAAAATGCAAAAAAAGATTCGAAAAAACTAATAAGAACCACGGGCTGAAATCAAAAAATTGCAGAGAAGATACTCACACCACGGCAATGGAGAAGACACGTTCGAGAATGATGAGACGCTTTTATACGTCTTAGTCTTTCGAAGATTTTCTCCAGGGGCGGTATCCATCAATCTCCCGTTTTGAAAGCGGGCGATCATTTTCAGAAAAAAAAATGATTGCCCGGCCGGGTTGACCGCCGCCGACCCGTAGTGTATGAAACTGCTGCCAACCCGGCCGGGCAATCATTTTTCTACTGAAAACGATCGCCCGCTTTCAAAACGGGAGATTGATGCATACCGGCCATACCCTCGATACATAGCCACGTACTTTGGGGACCTTCACTTTAACCGTCATGATAGAACACAACCCTCACTTGGAGAGAAGTAAGAATTCATTCGGGGCGAAGCCCCGGATATATGACATAAGTAATGACATGACCATATAGGGATGAATGTGAATGAGGCAAATATAGCAGTGATGTTCAAAAGAAGCTCAAAAACCTAAGGATTGCGTTTTAGGGTCTTTTTTTGCTGGAAAGAAGAGTTTTGTTTAAAAAACTAAAACAAGAAAAAAATTTTTAAGTAACCTTTCTTTAAACTGCGATTGAGCGTTGGAAGTTCATGAAAGCCGCTGGAGTTCAATAAAAACGAGAAACTGCGCTCAAATCTTGCGCAGAGGGTCGCCACATAAATGCTGGTCTATCGCGCTATGGAGTGATTTTCAAGACCCGCGACATTATCAGTGCTCCTCGTCGTGTCATGACGATCAGAATGATATATAATATTGCAGGGTTTCGTTGAGACCCCGCGGAGATCTACGACCAGAGCCAAATGCCCCGTCGGCTCTGGTCTGTCTCCGCTGCTCATCTGCGTCTCCGCGCGCTGTGCGCTACCTCGCTACCCCAAACGCGGGGCGCGGGGCATTTGGCTCTGGTACCCTTTTCTTCGTTGTTCGGAGCCCAATTTGACAATCTATTTATCATATTAAAACTCTTGATCTCTATTTCACGCTGACAACGTCGCGGAACTTCTTTTTAGGATTTAAACGAGAAATCCTCGAAAAACGGCGTTTTAGAAAACCTCTTGTTTTTTCTTCAGTTTAACTTTTTTCACTCGGTTTTTTGTGCATTCGATAGGTTTTGTTTCTGTCTAGATATAGACAACGTTGCCGAGCTTAATTCTTTGCATACGCCGGTTTTTTAAACTTCTAAAAAGTGCGCTTTCCTTTACCTCGTTCTTTTTCAGTGCTTGTGCGACTAATTTCCTTCAGCTTGGACGATACTTGCTCAGAATGATGAGCGGAAGAAACCAGACAACATCGCAGGATACGAAACGACTATGCGGGGGGTGAAAATTTAAAGGACGCATCAAAAATCAGATTGGCGTCGATGTGCAACATAACTTTTCATACAAGTCTAACATGTTCAATCCAGTTGTTGACAAGTTTCCTTCTTTCGGTCTCCCAACTACTGCCACAGCTAAACAGAGCTTTTTTATTTGGAAATAAACTTTGTTTTTGTTGCCACCCAATTTAACCGGCAATCCTGAAGACAAAACTGTGCGTAGGAAACCACCAAGTTGAGGTTTCAAATTTGGGATGTGCTAACCTCTGCTTTATATGAATTTTTGAAGTTTCCTGGTTCGATTTATATCTCTAAAATTCCATCCATCTTTCTGAAACAAC